CTAATTTGCAAAGACAAAATAGATCATATCTCCAGATGAGAGCAATACATTTATCCTTTATCATGTTTCACCAAATGAAGCCCATCCCATCTCCTGATTAGGCCAGGGCGTGACTGACGGCGGTCAAGCTCAAGTAGGTGTAGAATGACAAATGAGTCACAAAAAACAAACACGTCACAGCATCCGCATCACAAATCTGTTACCATGGTTACTTAGGTTCGGTCAGTTACAACTACAATACTATGAAGATACAGTGGTGGCTTATTCTCTTGGGGCTACTTTTCTATTTATTACAAATTATTTGTTTCTATCAAAATGACATATATCCAGAGACAAAGCTTGGTGTATCTAACATTCTGATGCAGTATTCATCACTCTGGTTCCATATGAAGCAGTTCTGGAAGAGTTGTCTCCCTTATCCTTCTCAATCCAGAGGTTCAACAGCAAGCATTGTATACAAAGCTAAAAGCTATAATCAATATTGCCTTAAAATCTAGAACATTTGAGTGTGTTGACCTGTCAGTCAATATATGGACATTAAGGCAACTATATTAACTTTAAAATGTCACCGAACCATTTGTACATTTTATTGAAGTACCACAACACTAATGAATTCATAAGTTTACAAAAGTGAATGAATGGGTTATCAATATGTTCTCAATAACATCACATGAAAATACAGTGTTCAAGACAGTATGAAAGGTGAATGGCCTTACATATTGTTAAAGATAAAAATAAGAAATAGATCATCATGCTTATAAACTGAGATCAGTTAAAGTTGAGAATCAAGTTGTCAATGTCAACACTATAGCAGCTGTACAGGCATCATACAAATAATGAAATATGCATGAATCAATTAAGGTCTTGTGGCAGAACATAAGTATTTGTCTAAGCCATAAGGGGCGGTGGGGTAGCCTTGTGGTTAAAGCGTTCGCTCGTCACACTGAAGACACAGGTTCAATTCCCCACAAGGGCACAACATGTGAAGCCCATTTCTGGTCCTCCCCGCCGTGATATTGCTGGAATATTGCTAAAAGCGGCATCAAACCCAACTCACTCTTAGCCATGAAACCCCAAAAGTGCATGATTTACAGTCCATTCATCTAATTTTGCAAAAAGTATTGCATGTCTTATTTTGATCAAGCAATTCTATCCATGAAAATATTTTGATAGTTTTTTCCAAATAACCATAACTAAGGTATCATAAATTTGAGTAAGTAAGTGAGTTTCAGTCAATGCCGCTTTTAGCAATATTCCAGCAATATCACAGTGGGGACACCAAAAATGGGCTTCACTCATTGTACACATGTCGGAATCGAACCCGGTCTTGTCACAAGTGAACGCGGGTCTCACTGTAAATTATTGAGAGAAGAAGAGAAGAAAGAATGAAATGCGGTACTCCCAGTAAAATGTGAAACAATGAAATGGATCGGTCTCCCAGTAAAATGTAAGGAATTGAGAATTGTGGGTCTCCCCGGTGGAAATGTGAAACAATGAAATATGGGTCTCCCAGTAAAATGTAAAAACAATGAAATGTGGGTGTCCCAGTAAAATGCTGAACAATGAAATATGGGTCTCCCAGTAAAATGGGGAAGAATGAAACGTGGGTGTCCCAGTAAAATGGGGAAGAATAAAATGTGGGTCTCCCAGTAAAATGAGGAAGAATGAAATATGGGTTTCCCAGTAAAATGGGGAAGAATGAAATGTGGGTCTCCCAGTAAAATGTGAAACAATGAAATATGGGTCTCCTAGTAAAATGTGAAACAATGAAATGTGGGTGTCTCGTAAAATGTGAAACAATGAAACTGGGCTGCAAACTGAAATGTGAAACAATAATGAAATGTCGGTCTCCCAGTAAATGTGAAACAGTGGAATGTCGACCTCGAAGTGAACTATGGTCTCCAAGTTGTCGTAGAATTACTATAAATGTAGGTCTGTTGTAAAATATGGGTCTCTCACTATGAAATGTTTGTCTGTTTGAGAGCTGCGTGTCTCCTAAAGACATATGGGTCTCACTGTAAATTATTGAAGAATGAAATGCGGTACTCCCAGTAAAATGTGAAACAATGAAATATGGGTCTCCCAGTAAAATGTAAAAAATTGAAATTGTGGGTCTCCCAGTAAAATGTGAAACAATGAAATATGGGTCTCCCAGTAAAATGTGAAACAATGAAATATGGGTCTCCCAGTAAAATGTGAAACAATGAAATATGGGTCTCCCAGTAAAATGTGAAACAATGAAATATGGGTCTCCCAGTAAAATGTGAAACAATGAAATATGGGTCTCCCAGTAAAATGTGAAACAATGAAATATGGGTCTCCCAGTAAAATGTGAAAAATGTGAAACAGTGGAATGTCGACCTCGAAGTGAACTATGGTCTCCAAGTTGTCGTAGAATTACTATAAATGTAGGTCTGTTGTAAAATATGGGTCTCTCACTATGAAATGTTTGTCTGTTTGAGAGCTGCGTGTCTCCTAAAGACATATGGGTCTCACTGTAAATTATTGAAGAATGAAATGCGGTACTCCCAGTAAAATGTGAAACAATGAAATATGGGTCTCCCAGTAAAATGTAAAAAATTGAAATTGTGGGTCTCCATGTAAAATGTGAAACAATGAAATATGGGTCTCCCAGTAAAATGTAAAACAATGAAATGTGGGTGTCCCAGTAAAATGCTGAACAATGAAATATGGGTCTCCCAGTAAAATGGGGAAGAATGAAACGTGGGTGTCCCAGTAAAATGGGGAAGAATAAAATGTGGGTCTCCCAGTAAAATGGGGAAGAATGAAATGTGGGTCTCCCAGTAAAATGTGAAACAATGAAATATGGGTCTCCTAGTAAAATGTGAAACAATGAAATGTGGGTGTCCCAGTAAAATGAACAATGAAATATGGGTATGAAACGTGGGTGTCCCAGTAAAATGGGGAAGAATAAAATGTGGGTCTCCCAGTAAAATGAGGAAGAATGAAATATGGGTTTCCCAGTAAAATGGGGAAGAATGAAATGTGGGTCTCCCAGTAAAATGTGAAACAATGAAATATGGGTCTCCTAGTAAAATGTGAAACAATGAAATGTGGGTGTCCTAGTAAAATGTGAAACAATGAAACTGGGCTACCAGTAAAATGTGAAACAATGAAATGTGGGTCTCCCAGTAAAATGTGAAACAATGAAACTGGTCTCCCAGTAAAATGCGAAACAATGAAATGTGGGTCTCCCAGTAAAATGTGACAAAAGGCCAGCGACTTTACATTGTGGTTCTCCCTGTGAACTTCGGAAACCCTGTGCAACGTAACGAGACTTGGACTGCTGAGCTTCAACGGAATGTACAATTATCCATAAATAGATAAAACTCATTTCAAACAAATTTACCATAGACGTTTTTCACAGAATTCCTGTCCTAAATAAATGATTTCTTATGTGAAATTCCAAAGTAATATATACAAACTCTATTTACCGACGACTTATAAACTGTCAGCATGTTATTTTAGTCTTAACGCCGCGGGGGACAACCAATAGAATTTTGGTGTGACTTTTGACAGGTTCTAACGATCTAATTCAAGTTACTCATATCCCGTGTGTCTATCAGCAAGCTATGTTAACAAACATTAACATTATCCGAGAAAAACGTCTTGGCAGCAGCACGGAGGTGTGGCGGTCGAGCGATTGACCATATCTTTATTACGTTGTGTCGAGATAAGCCAAATCTCAACTGTCGTTGTTTACAGCTGAAGCCGTACTTCTTGAAAATACCGAGGACAGTTTATCAGCAAGTAGCACATGGTTCGTGTGTGACGGAAAACTTATGATGATAAGACTCACGTCATGCTGGCAGCCCTAATTTATGCTTCGAGATGTTTTGACCGATAGCTGCAGATGCTCACGTAACCGGCCCATTCGTGACCAACTCGTGTTTTTCCGGGACAGGTCTTGGAGATTACGGAAAGGGGCGAATGGTGACGAATGGTAACAGGCTGTTACCTTCGCTTCTCCTCGCGGCCAATCGGATTGTTCCGCAATGACACGAGTGATTACGAATGCTGATGCTGAAACACGTTGGAGTTCAAAGTCTACTACCGAGAGAAAGTTCGGAAACTGTTCACGTTTTATCCATTACTCCAAGTTGAGAATGTTGCTGATGTTCATCGTGGTAACTGGAGCATGCTTAGTGTCTTGACTGCGATTTCAATAAAATTCTCAACCGAGCTTAGGGGTGCGTGCGTGCGTGCGTGCGTGAGTGCGTGAGTGCATGCGTGCGTGCGTGCGTGCGTGCGCGTGTCTGTCTTATTGCATGTGACAGTAATGTAAATGATAAGTAATTGAACATGCACTTAGCATATTATTAACTGTTAGAATCACAATATATGCACAGGTGTTGATTACACTTCTAGCCAGAACGACCAGTTTCAACAGCTGTTGTAAACTTACAGCATCTAGATCGAGAAGGAAAAGTTTCCAAATGTCTGAGTAGGTGAGGCACAGATGTCATGACAAAAGTAGTAAATGATTATATTTGAAACTGACGTGTTCAGAAATAAAACGGACAAGATCAATTTGACCTCAGGCATTACAATATTCTTGGTTGTACATGCTAAATGTCCTTAAAATGTGTGGTTAAAAAGGCAGCTGTCCCATAACTGTAACACAAGGGGGAAGGGGGAAAATTGTGCCGTAAGAAGGTAAATGTTCTACAGGGTAGGTGAAAGTGTCCATAAGAAAGGCAACTGTCCCATAAGAAAGGTAACTGACCCATTGGTAAAAGAAGACGAATAGAAAAGGGGAAAGTACAACAAGAAAGGTGACTGTGACATAAGAAAGGTAAATATCCAGGAAGAAAGGTAAGCGTCCAATAAGAAAGGTAAACGTTCAATAAGAAAGGCAAACGTAACTGTCCTAGCAAAAAGTAACTGTCCTACAAGAATGGTTCGTGTTGACTCGTTGGAAGGAAAGGTTTGGGGATTCTGTAAAATCCAGAGTTGTATTCCTATTTGTTTTGATTCAGCTTACCAGATCAAAGTCGCCAAACACGGAAGTCAACTAACTGGACAACTGACCGATCAGCTGACTGGGGCTGTGGATCATCTGTTTGGTGAGTGTAAACCTTCAACGACAGAACTGTTTACTAAGCGGGTCCACTGAAGGAGCCCTAAATGGATTTAGTCGGGGACAATCATGAACAACGAGGATGGACACGTAGGTTCCTAACTTAGCGTGTTACAGTGGGTATAACTATTTAGCCAGGAACGAGTGTATGTTTGACGAGTCCATGAATGACGGACTCAGTCACTGTGGGCGGTCCAAGTCGCCACAACACAAGGCGGGAAAGGTTGGCTGACCATCCCGGAAGTAAAAATATCTTTATATGTTTACGTTGTTAAATTTGTTTTAGAATGTTGTAGAAAGGGTATAAGGCAATCTGTTCATTCAAAGTTATCTGCCAAATTCATACAGAATTACTCGGGATGCTTTCTGATTAGTTTTGTTTCAGTGTCTGTAGGATGGGCTGGCGGATGTTTGACTTTTAGATTGATGCGTGGTTCTGTTGAATGTTGTTCGTGTGTTAGGTTTAGAAGGCCATATGTTATGTGATGGCAAAGGGACGACTGTATAATGGGAGGCAGGTCTGTTGCCGGAAATGAAGTTATCTGGATGGCGACCAGGTTTTGTTTGACTGTTGATGAACTTCCCAGATATTCGCATTTCAGTCCCTCAGTCTTTTAATTGGAAAACAGTTATGTTGTTTTACAGCAATAAACAAGACCAAAGGTCCCTCAATTTTTCATCACCATCATCATCATCATATCGCTGTCATATGTTATAATTAAGCATTATTATCATCACCATAGCCGTTTATATGAGTATTATTATCACCACTACCACCATCATCACCATCGTCGTCATCGTCATCTTTATCAGCATCAGGATCATCATCAGCATCAGGATCATCATCATCATCATCATCATCATCATCACCACCACCACCGTGTCTCATGGTGCACTTAAGAACGATGTCACAAATACATGTCCATAGCCTTGGGTACCTTTATGTACATTACATTTGTCCCAACACTAGACTGGATCTTAACAAATTGTGTTTAACTCTTGAACAGCAATCAGACACACAACATCACTTGCTCCAGCTCTCAGTGACCCAAAGTACAGCTGTACAAGTGTTAAGGGTCGGTTCCACGCTGGCTGATGACCTGTTGTCAGGGTCGTCTAACAGTGATGAAGGAAATCCGCCGACACACTTCACCAGGATACAACTCGCGCTAAACATAGGGTGAATCAGACCCCTACTGGCATAGAAGCAGGGATGAATAACATGCGTTATTATACTGACGCAAGGCAGGGCAGTGATAGTGAAAACTAACTATGGAAGTATTTATTTAAAATCATTTCGTTTTAATAGGTTAAGTAGTCTTTCACAACAAGCATGCACTCGTGTTTATATATTTAACGAGTGAGTGAGTTAAGTTTAGGTTTACGCCGCATTCAGCAATATTCCAGCTATATGGCGGCGTATATTTTACGAATCTCTTAGCACTAAGTACAGAATAATGTATAATATCGAGAAGAAATAGCAGTGCATGTATAAGTGGTAGTAAAAGAAAATAGTAGGGGTAGACGGAGTCGCAGTCGGGAGAGTCATGATGGTGGTGGCAGTAGTAGTAGTAGGAGTAATAGCAGCAGTGGTGGTAGTAGTAACAGTAGTCGTATGAGTTCTACTAGCAGTTGTAGTAGTAGCAGAATTAGTAGTGGCAGTAGTAACAGTAGTCGTATGAGTTCTACTAGCAGTTGTAGTAGTAGCAGAATAATTAGTATCAGCAGTAGTAGTAGTAGTAGTAGTAGTAGTAGTAGCAGCAGCAGTAGTAGTAGTAGTAGAAGAAGAAGTAGAATATACGTGATAGATATGGCTGGCATTGAACCAGAAGTAGTAAAGGCAGATTATTTTCCCTATTAACGCCCGTCTACGGCATTCCAACCATAAATACCACTGCCTGTATACATGACAGATTCTGGGCCAGACAAACAGGTGATTGATATGGACAGCATCGTCCCAGGACAAGAAAATTTAACAAGGTCACCGAGCCTGACCACCAGATCCCTAAGTCGCCTCTTACGACACGAATGGGTTGCTGGGGACAGTTTTAACCCGGAACCTCCAGGGGAAGATTTGTATCAGGTCGGGGATCGGCTAGGGGGTGTATCGGCGCAAGGCATGGTGAAGAACTTCAAACCGCGACTGATTTAACTTATGCACCCCCTCTCCGGTGGTCGCGATCGTGCCTTCAGTTAATTGATTTCCTTTCTAAGTCGACAACGCCTACCAGTGAACCTTTCGAACCAGACAAAATATAATTGAACTCAGACATCCCGTCGCTGATGTACTGTTGTGTCAGTCTTGTTGAATTAGCAGAGTATATAGCGAAACCACCCAGGCGTTTCATCTTCGTGAACATCAGTATATATTTTCATTACAGTCACGTTCATATCGTCAGTGCAGTATCACGTTTATCATCATCATCATCATCATCGCCATTAACATCATCATTCAGCAGCACTGTCTTAATCTTCATCATTATCATCAGCAACATCGTCGTCGTCGTCCTAATCGTCATCACTCTCTTCACTCTACATCATTGTCGTCACTATACCATGAAATGCATGTTTATATAGGTATCACCATCATCACCACCACCCTCATCATCATCATCATCATCATCATCATCATGATGTCCTCTATTCCCATGCTCTTCATTACCATCCTCACGACATCCCCACCATCATCACGCCATTACTTTCGGCACGTTAGCAAAAACGTTCCCCACGTCATCATCTTTTCATGTTCACGTGACATACATTCCTCATCATGATATCTATACAATCATCAGTGTCTTGTCACTATACGACCTGTTGTTTACGAACTATTCTTTTTTTACATGTGAGCACAAATACCTTTCATCATCATTCCGACCATATATGACAACATCGACCGTTTTGATAACACAATCTCAAACTTGTTTAGGGGCTGTGGGGGAGCGTAATAGTTAAGGCGTTCGTTGGTCATGCTTATGACCCGGGTTCGATTCCCTACATGGGTACGTGTGACTCCCATTTCTTGTGTCCCCGCCGTGATATTGCTCGAATATTTTTAAAGCGGCGTAAAACCTCACTCTCTCACTCTCAAACCTGTTTACACGTATCTGATTTCCCTGTGAAAATTGCAATAAATTCGTGTTAAAAAAAATTCAACCATTTGGTTTCGACCTTTAAATTCAATACTTATTGTGTCGTCTCATATCTGCCAGCTGTCCCGCCACCCACGTGGTGCGTGTTTACTTAGCATGTCTATTGCACATATTGACGTCTCTCCATGACACATTGCTGATATCGACATGTCATTATAACAGCTTGGCGGGCATTTCACTGCCGATGACAATTTCTGGCGATGTTGTCATTTAATATCCCACAATTACATTATTGCCAGGCTCAAGCTGGTCTGAAATTATATGACACCAGTTGATGCGTAACTGTCTTAATTTTAAATGACGCATTTCAAAGCTTTGAACGTTTCATGTCAAGTGGCTGCCTGACTATTCCATGTACATTACTAAAATTTATGACACATTTCCTTTCTTGGGCGTTCAGTTTGCAATCAAAGCCACACCCAAATGTTATTTTAATTTGAAATATTATATTTGCATACTATATGAGGTAAAAGACGATATGAGGTTTAGGTATTCATGAGCTGAAATTAAATGCACATCCGATGCTCTCATATCTCCCTCGGTAATGACCTAAAGCGGTACAATTAGTGAAATGTACATGCAATCAGCAAGTTATTTATTGCATAACTCGTCATCAATAAGCCATATCAGCTGCTATGAACAACTGACCCACAGTAAACCCACAGTGCACTGATAAATTAGAAATGCTGGCTTGTCCCAACAGCAAATCGACTAACAGAAATAAACGCTTATCTGAAATGTAGAACGTAACGCTTCATAATCACTTACTGTTTTTCTTTCTGAATGAGAGACGGAAGGAGGAAGACCTTCTCCTCTTGACTTCCCTTCTATCCAGCGACATCGTTGTTGGTGATTGAGTATTTAGTCCGATTTTGACTTGACTAACTTTTTCACAACTACCGACTAACTTCCATGCCTCCCACAATCAACTGGGCGACATGACGTACTTCGCTTTAACGCGCATTGTCGTATATGACCAACTCCCTCGTTATAACACTCTTAACACCACTTTGCTAATTTTCTGGATTGGTATAGCTAATTTTAGCGCCCCAAGTTATACAAACAACGGGTTAGTCTTTGTATACATGACTGTGTGTTATAAAAGGAATGGGGCTTCTGGAAATCGGGTCGCAAATCGGTTATATTTACACTTAAGATAAGTAGAGGTGATCAAGTCACCGATTGGTGGAGCTTTCTTGAGCATGATAAATTTTAAAAGGCTACGTTTTATTTAGATGTGACGTGAGCGGTGGATACAAACTGACGGTTAGAGGTAAGGAAGGTTTCCAGGTTGTTGTTTTTTTTTTTTTTGGGGGGGGGGGACGGTAGTTCGGGGGCACTTTGAGCTTCTAACGGTAAACGATTACGATGTCAGGTGGTATACTCACAATAAAATACCTGTTTTAAGTTGCTGTGGATAGAAATGCAAAGTAGTGATGTTCAACTTGATCTGGCTATCGATACAGATCACAGAGGTCGGTAATCGCTAACCAATCATCGATCGATTATCGATAAATATCGAAGAAGAACTCTGATAAGAAAACGTCTGAGAGATATCGACATGTTTCACATCACTGAGTGGTGACCCGTTTATGCATGGTTTAGTGCCAATACAGGGGCCTCATAATAATTTAGAAGTAGGTCATGAATACACATGTAAGGGCTTATCTTTGTGCCCTCTGCAAGGCAATTCAAACTACATTTCATAGCAATAGTTCATGCCCGATATTATCGATAATGCAATTTTCATATCGATTTTCATAATTAATTCTTCCCATCGAAGATCTTTACGATTATCGATCTTTTTAGTTTAGCAGCCCGTTTGTCGAAAAAGGCCACTAACGGGATCAGGTGGTCAGGCTCGCTGACTTGCTTGAGACATATCATCGTATCCCAGTTGCGTAGATAGATGCTCGTGCTCATAATAATCATAAGATATAA